AATTTGAAAACTGCACCCCTTAGGGAGTGGTGGAAATGTTAGCTGTCTTGATTGTAGTAGTGGTTTCACTGGTGTCTGCATCTGTCAAAATTCATCAACCTGTACATTTGAAATACATATAGTTTATTGTACAGGAACTATACCACAATAAAGGTGTTTAAAAAAATAAAGATGCTGTGTCTTTGCAAATATTGTTCTTTTTTCCCTCTTTAGTGCTTTCTAAATTTCTTTCATCCCTCAAGATCCAACTCAGATGCCACCTCCATGAAGCCTTCCCTGACTGTCCAGACAGCTCCCTCCCTCCCTCTTCTTCGAGCCCCTGCACTTGCCCCGCCCTTGTTATAGCTCTGAACATGTGCTGTCACTTCTTGCCCTGGCTTCTGTTTTGTTCTCTGTGCTCTTTGCTTCTTGAGGGCAGGAGCCAAGGCTCTTTTGCCTTGTGCTTGGTATGGAATGGTTTGTGTAGGGAGTAGACAGACAGAGATGGAAGGAGATGGCAGGAGGCTTCGTGCCACTGAGAACAGGCTGTGCTGAGAGGAGCACTGGTGCCAGGTCGTCGAGGGCCTCGATGCCAGGCCACCTGTTAGATTTACTTTCTGGCGGTTCCGTACATCACCGCTGTGGCAGAGAGGGAGGCCCCAAGGGGCACCTTGCTCATTTGGTGGGTCTCAGGCTCGCTCTCTTTTTTTTTTTAAATAAGTGTGTACGTATGTGTTTAACGTAAGTATAACATAGTCACGTTATAGAAAATTTGGAAAACAAAATAACTCATCCATTTCTACTAGTCTTTTGCAATTGTCATTTTAATGTGTTTTCCTGTCAGTCTCTTTTTTATATGAGTACTTTTGACAGAATCATCATTTGATATTCATATAACAAAGCATTTTCTGTGTTGCCGCCCTGTGTTCATAGCTGTGATTTTTAGTGGCTGTTTAGGCCATCGAGGGGATGTACTTGTTCTCACTGTCTCTGGATATTTAAGTCATTTTCCTGCTTTTTTCTCCAGTTGTAAATACAGTTGGAGATGTATTGGTGCAATGAATACATTTGCAGATACAGATTTTTTTTCTCCAGTCGTAAATACAATTGCAGATGTACTGGTGCAACGAATACATTCACAGATACAGGTTTTTACACATTTTTGTCATATTTCCTTTGTATGCTCAGTCTGTGGGTCAGCGAGTACCAAGATTAACTGCGGCTCTTTGTGCACCTGGGACCCAGCCAGCCAGTCTGGGGATGACTGCCCTTTCTTGTTCTGTGACACATAGTCTGTCGCCAAAGCAAATGGGATGTCACAGAGGTTCCAAAGTATTGGTGACTGCTTCCCAGAGCGAATGGCCGAGTGTTTTAGTCCATGAGGTATTTATTTAACATGCTTATTTGGAGCCTGAAAGAAAGCCCACATCAGGAGCCTGGGTGGAGTGCGGGGTGGGAGAGCAAGGAAGAGCCACGGTGCGCTCGAGCAGGCCAGGACCTGGGGGACGCACGGGGAGGGGTTGCCAAACCAGTGAAAACAAGTGTGTTTTTCAGGGCTTTTCCGGCAGAGCTCCAGCCTACCTGTGCCCGAGTCCTTTCTCTTAGATCCCTCACAGCCAAGCTCCACAGGAGTTCTCCGCCCCAGAGCTTCCTGCATGGCCTTTGCTCCCCTTGCTCCCCTCGTGTTGGAAGCTTCCTTCCTCTGAGCCCGCGCCGCGCAGGGCCCCCTTCCCTCCCCTGCCCTCCTGTCTTCACTCGGGTGCTGTGGGCACGCGTCTCAGCTTCCAGATCATGGTCTCCAGAAGGGCAGGAGCTGTGCCCTGTTCCCCTGGTGTGTCCCTCACACTGTGACTGTTCGCTGAATGAAAAGAACTGCGTTCAGAAGATTTTTATTTGTTACAAGTTCAGTGAAGGGCGTTGGCCAGTCTGCATCCTTTGGCCACCGAAGGGGTATCAGGTTGCTTTTTTGGAGGTGAAACTTAGCTCTGCCTGTGCTTTTAAATAACTGCTTGACGCACTTTTTTACGAGTCAGCTCATGCTCTGTGAGTGTAGAAGATTGCTGCTGTTGACTTCTTATTTGTGGCTTGGAGTAAAAGCTGAGGGTCCTCATTCAGGCTGGTCAGTTTTGTCCTTACAAGGCTCTCTGTATGTGTCCTCCCAAGGGTGTTTGCCAAGAGGACTGCTCTGAAATCCAGGAATAAGGAGCTGAGCAGAAGCAGCTGTCCCGGTCACTTATGGTGCCCTTGTCAGCCTCCCTCGGGAGCAGGGTTCATCCATCCAACCCCACCCTGGCTGGGCACCTTCCGTGGGTCAGCCCCCTGAGCTAGGCTTTGGGGACGCACTGCCCACTCAGGTTTGCCACTCGTGTCTTTGGAGACAGACTGACTTCAGAATCAGCCTCAGCTACTACCCCTGAGGTCTTGGATGAGCCACTTCTCCTCTCTGAGCTGGGGCTTTGTCCATCTGCCAACTAAGTAGTCCTCCCTCACAGGGTGGTCGTGAGGTTGAAGGAGGAGGTGAGTTGTAGCTTTTCTCAGCCAGGGTTCCTCAGCTGAGCCATAGACACAGAAGCTGATTGGAGCGACTGCTTTCTCCGTTCTCCCAAGGATGGAACATAACCAGGACTGTCCTGGATGCACAGAAGTCAAGTCATTGCAGTGGGGCTTAATTCTCGCTGGGAACCAGGTTGAGAGGGGCTGGTAGAACCTTCTTTTCTGATGGCTTGACAAAGTGGCCAGTTCTGGGATGACTAGAATTTCACAGTCACATCACTGTGGTAAGCCTGGCACACAGTAGACACCCAGTAAACACCAGCTCCCTTCTCAGCCCCTCTGCCTCCCTCCTTCTCACACCGGGCCTCCGCTTCTCTTGAAGCCATGGACACCTTTCAGAAAGAGCTTTGGTCTCCTCAGATGGAAAGTATTCATGTCTCCCAGAGTGTTCCAGGCTCCTTTTCCCAGGCAAGGTGCTCCTGGGCCCGGGGTCGCTGCCATAAAGCAGGTGGCTCTCCCCTTCTCTGTGTCCTAGCATTTGGCCAGTACCTGCCAGAGAAAGTGGAGGAGGGCCTGCAGCATGCAGCCTTATCCCCAGACATTACCTGAGCTTCTGCTTGCAGCAGGCCCTTCACCAAGCCCTAGGGAGCCAGAAGTATGGACTAGATACAGAAGCTCCTGGCTGCAGAGTTTACAGTCTGCTAGTGGAGACAGGATTTGTTTACAGTGAGCCAGGTGAGGGGTCCAGGGCCAAGTCTTTAAGATTTGTGAAAAAGAAGGAGGGATCAGTATGGACCCAGTAGTCAGTCCCCGCACGCCCCAGAATCCTCTTCTGGCTGACCCTGGTAAAGGAAATGACATCTCTTCAGGGATCTGGAGGTTGCCTGTTAAACGTGTGCATCTGGGTCACGCGTGTATGCCATGACCCAAAACTGCTACTAGAGCCGGCGCTCTGTCCTTGTCCTGTAGTGACAGACTCAGGTAACCAGTTTCTTGGACAGTGGATCTAATTTCAGTGACTCAGCTCACTTGCTCTGCTGTGCTTGCCGTCTGCTAAGTATGAAACGGGAACAGATACTGAGCCACAAACCTTTCTTGCAGGAAGCCAGCCCCATAATTCTGGGAGAAATCTACTACTCATTCAGCCAACAGATAACCTCAAGGCCGGGTCCTCCAACTGCCGGTGGCCTCCTAAGCCTTACCTTGTCCTTTTGTCCAAGTTGCAGGAGCCACCAGGCTGGGATGGTGTCCAGCAGGAAGGACATAGCCACATGGCCTCCTTGCAGGGGAGACTGGGGTGCAGAGGACGAGTCCATCCAGAGACAGGAAGTGAGATGGGGCTGTGTGCCAGCTCTGGGCTAGGCCCTGGGGCTCTTCGGACATAGTCTCCCCTCCAGGCACTGGTGGCCTCGGTGGGAAGATGACAGTATGTGTGAAAAAGTGACTTTCAACACTGACCCTCGGCTCGATAAGTGTTCAGAATAGGGAGCTAGCTCCCATTTTAAGATGAGATAAGTATTGCACCATGGCAACTGTCCATGTCCACGTCTGAAAGTTGAGGGGGTTGTTCTCTGAGGTCTGTCAAAGGTTAACATTGTGTTTAAGAATCCAGTCTGTGGAGGCTGGGGGGAAGCTGAGCAGGAAGGACTGGGGCCTCTGGAAGAGTAGTGAGGGACTGGGGGCCGGGGGATGCAGGCCTATAATAAACAGGGGCCTTGGCAGACCATGGTGGCAGCTGTTTCTCCCAAGCCCCAGGCGTCACTGTTGGGTTGGACCTGAGCCCCAAACCTGTTTTGTGTGGGGGCGGGGCCTGGTGTACAGGAGCCCTGTCGGGGGAGGGGCGGGATGAAGACAGCTCCGAGGCTGCTGGGGTGGAGAGGATGGCAGGGAGCCCTGCGAGGCCCTGGGCCGGAAGGGTTGGTCTTGGCAGCGATCAGATGGGAAAGAGAAGATTGAAAACTTGGGGAAAGTCTGTATTCTGAGGACATTTTTGTATTTTTTTTAAAAGAGAATTCAGGAGAAAAAAAACCCAAAAACATTTTCCTGGCTTTTCATCTGAGTCCTTCATATCTGTATTCCTAGCAAGTGTGCATGATTTAATAAAGTCAGCACTGGCAGCCAGCAGCGTGTTTTTGTTCCAGAACCTTAAACTGTCCTTTAAAAAATTAGATGAATAAATACTTTCTGTAAAATAATAATAATAATAAAAACCAGTACAGAGGTTGTAAAGTGAAAAGTAAATCTACCACTCCACTTACTCCCCTCCTCAGCAACCCTCCCCACAAAAAACCCTCACTGGAGACAAACACTAAGACCCATTTTGATTTTGTAAAGGGCACGATCAGGAACATGCGTAGGCCCTCTTCCCAGGCCTCAGAGTGTAAAGCTTGCTCTGGGTCTCTTCTGGGAAGTCATCTGTGCTGAACCTCTCCTTTCCAGAAAGGAAGAAGAGACTGCAGTGAGGTCCCTCCCCTCACGTGGGTTCTCCTTTTTCCCCAGTGTCTAATGGCTCTTTTCTACCTTCTCAGGACCCCTCTGTGACCCAGCTGACTAATGCCCCGCAGGGAGGCCTGGCCGAATTCAACCCCTTCTCAGAGGTTGGTGAGCATGCCCTCTTTCTGAGGCCCAGGTCCTCTGGGTGGTGCTGGCATCTCTGGGTAAGGAGCCTTGGCAGAGACAGAGACAGAGACAGAGACAGGTGTGAGAAGCTGCAGTCGTCCCAGGGACAGTCCAAGTGTGAACTCAGGGGGTAGGGGCAGGGATGAGGAAGTCACCCACGCTCTCCTTGGGATCCGTGATCTGGGCCCCTCCCGGAAGAGGGCGGGGCAGTGCTGGGGAGCTCTGGATGCAGCAAGGCCAGGGCTCTGGGTTAGGCATCACATTGCCCAGAGCCTGGGGCTTGTTGGCTGAGAAGCTGCAGAGGGAGGCCCAGGGCAGGCCCAGAGGGAGTGCCCCTCTTAGGCAGAGGCGCATCACTCACACCCTGAGGGCTTGTCCCCACCTGCCAACTGGTAGAGGCCCCCTCACCTCCCTCCTCTGATCTGCCCCATGCAGACAAATGCAGCAACAACGGTTCCTGTCACACAGCTCCCCGGGCCCTCGCAGCCAGCAGTCCTCCAGCCCTCAGTGGAGCCAACTCAGCCAACCCCCCAGGTACTGTTGACGGAGATCCCTTTGGCCTCTTCTTTCCAGAAAGGGACGCACCCAGACCAGTAGCTGAGCCCTGAGATTGACGGGTGGACACAGGGCTTTAACCTCTGGCTCCGCTTCAGGGGCCCTCCTGATCATCTCTTTGGTGTTGGTCACTTGCACATGGAGGGTCTGCTCTGCCAACTATATCCTCACCCCCACCCCACTACCACCACCCAAAATAAGCTCTGCTCACCAAGCCAGGGTCCTTGGTGGCCTAGAGAGCATCTGCCCCTGTTGTGCCATTCCAGTTCCTTCTTGGGCCTTTGGTCTATTCTTACTCAGGGCCCAGAATCTCTCCCTCTCTTTTTTGTTTTAACCTCATTTATTCCTGTCTACCTTCCTGTTTTCCTTTGTCCCTTCACCAAATACTGTGAGTCTTGTCTGCTTTGTGCCCAACACTCCCCTCCACGCCTCACTGCCCTCCCCCACGCGCCTTGCTGCCCCCGGTGAGCATGAGCCATAGTGGAGTTGTATGTTGCAGCTCCTGCTTAGACAGGCCAGCAGGTTCCTGCCTACCAGACTCCTGGCAGAGAGCGAGCTCTCAGAGAGGCAGATGCTGCTAGGAGGAGATAGTATTCTCAGAGACAGCTACATGCGAAAGCTTCTGAAGGTAGGCAAAGTATAGATGAGCAGGAGTGAGGGCAGGGCGCCTGGACCTGCTCAGCTGGGCTGTGGATCTAGTGGGCCCCAGGCTGCTCCTGCCTCTGACTCGACTTGTCTGAATGTGCTGCCCCTGCCTGGGCCCCTGGGCTACACTCTTGGCCCTAGAACCCTGTGGAGGTGAGGCAGGCCTTAGAGGCAGGGGTGACTTTCCTGTTCTGCTGGGTGGTGGGCTGTAGGGACCTGGTCCTGCTCAACTGAAGTCGCAGACTTTGGGAGAGGAGGCTAAGACCCTCAGCGTGGTCCAGTGTGGTCAGTTCTGGTCCTGCTTCTGTACCCACTGCCTGAAGTTTACCTTCTGAAGGCAGACTTAGCTCTTTGGAAAACGCCTTTTGGAGAGAGAGAGCGTGTGTGTGTACATATGTATGTACACATATGCCTGGCTTATCATCCTGGGATACCTACATCCTAAAGAGGATTGTAGACTTGAGGAACCAGGCCCCAACAGCTGAAGCACCTAGCGGGGACCAGAGCCCTGGGCTGGAGCACCAGGCCCAGGCCCAGGCCCAGGCTCCTTCAGCCTCACATGTAGTCTCCTAGCTGCCTCACTCAGAGACCCCACTGTGCTTGGAGAGGGAATAAAGCTTGGATTCTGCACGCTGTGAGAGCCAGGCCAAGCATGGCCAAGCCTAAGGGGCTGTCCCGGGGTGCAGCCGGTCACACTTCAGGTGGAGCCCTGCGCAGCGTCTGGGGTTGGGCGGGTTGGGGAGGTGCTTACACATAGACCCCCGAGGCTCTGGGTACACAAGGCTCAAGTATCTCCCATCCCCTCTCATTGCTAGCAGGTGCGCACCATTTCCCATTCACACACATGTACACCCCGCCACGGTCTTGAAATGAGGCTTGGGTCTCTCAGTGTCTGGTATATGTTAGTCTCTTGTGAGACCTTTTTCCCTTTGCCGTTACCCCAAAGGTCACTTTAACTGAACTTTGCCTGGCTCCAATATGAGGGATAGTTCTCCTCTATCTCAAGCTCAAGGATGAGGGGAGAGGAGAGCGCTGGTAGTGGCTCAGGGGCAGGAGGTGGTTTATGGTAGGCGGCTGGTCACCTTGGCCTCTCTATGGTGGTCTCAGGTACCCAAGACACTCTGGGGCTGGGACTGCCTCTGGGCTGCCTCCCTGCATGGGCAAGGCCCCTCTGCCTTCTGTTCAAGCTGACACTGTCTGTCTGTCTGTCGTGTCTGGCCGCCCCCCGACACCTGTTCCCTCCAGGCTGTAGCCTCTGCCGCCCAGGCAAGCCTGCTCCGGCAGCAGGAAGAACTGGACAGGAAAGCAGCTGAACTGGAACGCAAGGAGCGGGAGCTGCAGAACACAGTGGCCAACTTACATGGTAAGCGAGGTGGCCGTGCCCGACTCAGGGAGTTCCCGGGCCTGCTTGTTCCTGGGGCAGCCTCGGAGCTTTGCTGAGCTCTTGCCAAGTTCATCTTAGAATGGCGTTGGTCCTGGGAAGAGCAGTAAGGTGGATGTTAGGAGACTTGCAGGGTATTGCTAATGGATGTAGGTTGTTTCTGCACTCCTTCCCAGCTCGAGCTTTCTTTGATAGAGTGAGGGCATTGGTCCCAGGATTCCTTGCTCATGATCATGAACCCTATGCTTATGGGCTGGTTGTTAATAAAAGTAATCACTTAGGCCATTGAGCTCTGTGTTTCCCAGTGAACTTGAGGTCCATTATCTTAGAGTGAGCTTCTGGGTGTTTGTGTCCCAACACCCTTTTCCCATCCCACTCCACATCCATTGACCCCAAGCCCCGCTTGCTGATGCCCCTCTGGGAGCCCTGGTTTGGCCCGCGAACAGGGTGGTGTGTGTGCTCCACCACGCTGCTGAGGCCGGGCTCACCTCCTCGCCTCTTCCCACACAGTGAGGGAGAACAACTGGCCGCCCCTGCCCACGTGGTGCCCTGTCAAGCCCTGCTTCTATCAGGATTTCTCCGCGGAGATCCCTGCTGACTACCAGCGGATATGCAAGATGCTCTACTATCTCTGGATGTGTGAGTCCTGCTCCTGCCCCTCTGAGCACCAGGTGAAATCCTCCGGCCGCTCCTCCCTGGCAGGCTCCAGCCCTCCTCAGTGCTGGGCTGGGGTGGGTGCTACCTTCTGCCCACATAATTTGCTCCCCGAAGTCTGCTGCCTGTCCTTGGAACCTCCCCAAAAGGGCCAGTGCAGGCCACAGGTCAGGTAGGGTGGGATGAGCTGGAGGCTTCTGAGTCCTGCGGAGCTCACTGCACTAAAAGCCCTCCTTCAGTGAAAGCCTCTCCTCCCCACAGGCCCCTGGGCTCCTGGGAACGAGGATAAAAGGCTCCCTGTAGCTCTGCTGTGGCCCATCCAGGGCAGGGAGAGGAGTTTCTGAGAGAAGAGCTTCATTCCCCAAGGATCAGTCCTTGGGGCTGCATCCCCGCCCTCCACCACTGCCCCTCAGATACCTGGACTGTCCCATCACCTCTTAGGAACTTGGTTTGGTCCCTGGTTTTAAGGTCCTAGAAAACCAGGATTTGGGAGCCAACCCTGCCCAGGTACAGACCGAGCTCCTCTAGTATCTCTGCAGCTGCCCCCACAGTGTGGACCTCGTTTCCTCTCTGGGGAGTCGTTTGCCTTGTCGGGGAGCCCTTCAGTCACCGTGGCACAAGCCCACCTCTTTCTCCCCTCTCCTTCCCCAGTGCATTCAGTGACTCTGTTTCTGAACCTGCTTGCCTGCCTGGCCTGGTTCTTAATTGACACCACCAAGGGAGTAGACTTCGGCCTCTCGATCCTGTGGTTTGTGATCTTCACCCCCTGTGCCTTCCTTTGTTGGTACCGACCCATCTATAAGGCTTTTAGGTGAGTGGGGCTTGGGCAAGGGGTGAGTGTGTGGCTGGCATCCCTGGTTGCGGGCTGAGGGCTCATGGATCAGAATAGAGTGGTGGGGAAAGTCACTTTCCCAGTCCCACCCATGGTGAGAGCACAGGGGCCTGGGCTGCTTTCCTCAGTTGCTGTACCTGAGGTCCGCTCTGGGCCGTGTCCTTGGATGAGGCACAGGAGGCTTACTTGCCTTCCTCTGCTCCCAGTCTGTCTGATACAGTGGGATTTTAGTCATGGGGAAGAGGCTGTGCTTCTTTGATAGAAGTCAGACTTCTCTGATAGTCTGATAGAGTTAGAGAAGCTCTCAATGGGTCACCTGTCCATGCTTATTTCTGCTTCTCCCTCCACCTCCCCATTACTCCTGAGCATGGCTAAGTACCAGTATTTGACTGGTTGACATAGACTAGATACTGTGGGCATTAATAGGTCCACCTCACAGACCCCTAGGGCATTTGGAATCGTGCCTCAGAGTTGATGCTTTCAGGACAGGAGCCTGGCAGTTCCCTGGTGGAGGGGGCGAGGCAGCGGCTGAACCCTCCCCTGCATTTAGCAGGCAAAGGCTGCACCCTCACTGTATTCTGGCCCCCAGGACACTGAGATGAAGGTACTCAGAACACTGGTCTTGTCTGGTGTTCCCTACTCCCCAAATACCTTTTTTTTCCACCCAGGCCTCCAGTTTTATTATTAAAGACTTATACCTTTGGTTTAGATTTTCTTGCCTGTTATGCAAATAAGTACTCCAGGAGGTGGACTGTTAGGCTCTTTACATGGTCCTTTGTGAGCAACTTTATTAGCTCTTTGAGGAGGGGGTTAAGTATTGACCCCTTAAACTGGAAGGCAGTGGAAGGCAAGCCCTTTTTGATGATGGTGGTGAGTGTGCGTCCTTGTGGGCAGTGTGGCTGGCCCACTGGCCTGCTCTCCTCCCACAGTCCTGCACCCTGGCTCCTGGTGGGGTAGGTGTTGTGGTGAGTGAGGAAGGCAGAGGGGGAGCCCCAAGCCCTCTTGTGACTTCTTGTTTCCCCCTCTCTCTACAGGTCCGACAACTCTTTCAGCTTCTTCGTGTTCTTTTTTGTATTTTTTTGTCAAATAGGGATCTACATCATCCAGTTGGTAGGCATCCCTAACCTGGGGGACAGGTAAGACCTGGGGCAGCACAGAGGGAGTTGCGCCCTGTTTCCCTGCTCCCAGGAAGCCCCCACAGATGACCTGTTTTCCACCATAGCAGAGAGGGGGTGGGTGGGTCAGCTCGGGTCTGCCTTCACACCCCCGTCCACTTCTTCATCAGTAGCCACTTACTGTCTTGCCTTGCTCGCCACGTTCTCGGGTGTGTGGGTGAGCTTGGCATGAATCCGTAGGCTCGCAGGGCTGTGTCCTGCACTGGATGGCCTCCTCCTCCTCTGCTCCTGCCATGCCCTCCTAGAGGCTGGTGCTACTTCCACAGGCCCCAGACAAGCCCTGGGGTTTGGGAGGCTGCTGATGGATGTCCTGGCCTTTGCAGAGTCTGAGCTGTGACTTTTTCCAGAGGCCCTGTAACCTCAGGAGATGGAGCCCTCGCCCTTCAGGATTTGGCTCCTCCTGGCTGCTCTCCTTGAGCACACAGCTGGCATCAGTGTCCTGGCGGCTGCGGTCCTCAGCTCAGAATTAGTCTCAGAAAGACAAGCTGATGGCTGATGTTTTCCTTTCTGCTCCAGTGCATAGGGAACATTACAGAAAGGTCAGGCTGGCCTTGGCTGGAAGCCTGAGGCTGGAAGGCCTGCACTATTTTGGTCCCCTCCCTCCAATGGCACTGGCGAGTCCAGAGCTGCGGGGAGGGTGACTCACCTCACACTCGGAGCAAGTGCACGCTGCCCTGCATCCCCACCCCCCTTTCTTCTCTTGCTGTTTCTAATCTGGCCCCTTTTCTCTTTGACTGGTGACCCAGTTTCATTACTCATTACCCTAAGTGAGATCCTCATAAAAGGCGGTGATTAATAACTGCTGTTTGCTCCCTGGTCTGGGAGTCAGGAGGCTTGTGTTCCGGCCTGGGCTCCGCCCCCGCTGCCCTGCCTGTGTCTGCTGGGATGATCTCTGTCGCCTCCAGCCTCCCAGTGCCTTTCTCATCTCCCCTCAGAACAGCCACGATTGGCTAGATATAATCCCTCTTCCCTTTCTGCTACTGATGTAAAATACACATAAAATTTATCATTTTATTTACCACTTAAACCATTTTAAAGTATAAAATTCAGTGGCATTTAGTCCATTCACAGTTTTATGCAAACACCACCACTTACCTAGTTCTAGGACATTTCTATCACTCCGTAAAGAAACTCCATTCAGTTGGAACCAAAATTCATTACTTTCCATTTTTTCCTTTCCTAATAAAATCCTGTAAGGTGAAAAAACAAAACAAAACTCCATACCCACTAAGCACTCACTCCTTTTCCCTCATTCCCTGAGCCCCTGGCAACCATTTAAACTGCTATCTGTCTCTGGATTTGCCTGTTCTGGACATTCCATTGAAATGGAATCATACAATATATGGCTTTTCGTGCCTGGCTGCATTCACTTAGCATGTTTTCAGGGTTCATGTTGTAGCACATGTTAGTACTTCATTCCATTTTATGGCTGAATAATATTCCATTGTTTTGGGAGATACTGCATTATTTTTACCCACTCATCAGTTGATAGACATTTGGCTTTCCACCTTTTTGCTATGGTGAATAGTGCTGCTATGCACATTTGTGTACAAGTCTTTGAGTACCTGTTTTCAGTTCTTTTGGGTATGTATCCTGGGGTGGAATGGCTCAGTCACATGGTAATTCTATGTGTAATTTATTGAGGAACTGCCAAACTGTTTCCCACAGTGGCTGGACCACTTTACATTTCCAGTAGCAAAGTATGAGGGTTCTAGTTTCTCCACATCCTCACCAACACTCCTTTTTTCTGTTATAGCCGTCCAGAAGTATTGTATCTCATTGTGGTTTTGATTGATCTTTCCTGAATGATTAATGATGTTGGCCATCTTTTATGTGCTTATTTGGCCATTTGTATATTTTCTTTGGAGAAATGTCTGTTCAGATCCTTTGCTAATTAAGTTAATCAGGTTGTCTTTTTGTTGAGTTCTTTATATATTCAGGATAGTAGCTTTTTATCAGCTATGTGATTTATAAATTTTTTTCCTGTGTGTTGTTTTTCACACTTGATAGTATCCTTTGATGTACAGAGGTTTTTAATTTTGATGAAATCCAGGTCATCTTTTTCTTGCATTGTTGTGCTTCTGTTGTCATATCTAAGGACCATCACTAAATCTGAGGTCATCAAGAATTATCTCTGTTTTCTTCTAAGAGTTTTATAGCTTTAGGTCTCTGATTATTAGGTTTCGGTTAATTTTTGTATATGTTTGAAGTAGGGTCCAACATCATTGTTTTGCATGTGGATATCCAGTTGTCCCTGCACCATTTGTTGAAGAGGCCATTCCTTCCCCATTCAGTGGTCCTGACACACTTGTCAAAACTCAGTTGATGATAAATATATAGGTTTATTTCTGGACTCCCAGTTCTATTCTGTTGATCTGTGTGTCTATCCTGATGCCAGCACTGCAGTGTTTTGATAGCTGTAGCTTTGTAGTAAGTTTTTAAATCAGAGAGTGTGAGGCTATCCCCTTCTGTAGATGAGGACAGTGGGGCTCAGGAAAGAGACAGGACTGACGAGAGGCAGAGGGGCTGTCCCTGGGCCCCAGTGGGAGGAGCTGAGGTGAGAGGATGAAGGCAGTAGTCAGTCCTCCTCTGCAGGCCCTCAGGAGTGAGCAGCCAGGCTTCCCCCGTACCCCTAACCCCCAAAGCAGCAGGAAAAGGCCCTCCCTACCGAGTGCTACGCCTGACTGTAAAGGTAGCAGGCATCTCCTTCCTCCCTGACCGCACATGGCCCAAAGATTCCCCATGGGCAGTGTGGGGCCTGATGGCCTTCACAGAGGCCTGGTCTCTCTCAGGCCAAGGGTTCTGGCCCACAGGGCTCTGTGCTGCAGGGAGGTGCCTGGGTGGGGTTCAGCACACAGTGGCCACTTGGAGAAGAGCCCCTCACGGGTAGCTCTGGGGCCCATTCCCACTGTGCCCTCTCGGCCTCCTCCTCCCTTTGCAGTGGTTGGATCGCAGCCCTGTCTACACTGTCCCAAGACCTGGCTGTGTCGATCATCATGATGGTGGTGGCTGGCTTCTTCACCCTCTGTGCCGTGCTCTCACTCTTCCTCCTGAAGCGGGTGAGTGGTGGGCGCTGGGCCAGCAGCACACCCAAGGAAGCAGGCACCTCTCTCCTGCCTTCACCATGGGGATTTCATCTCTACAGCAGTTGGGCCTCCTGGATCGCCAAAGGTCCAGTGGCTTCCTCCAGGGCTTGGAGGGGAGGCCAGCAGGCTGGGCTTCCTGGTGGCCCACAGCGTGGGCTTTTCTCACCATAGTCTCTTTCCACAGGTGCACTCCCTGTACCGCCGGACAGGGGCCAGCTTCCAGCAGGCCCAAGAGGAGTTTTCCCAGGGCATCTTCAGCAACAGGACCTTCCGCAGCGCCGCCTCGTCTGCTGCCCGAGGAGCCTTCCAGGGGAATTAGTCCTCCTGACTCTCCTCCCTCTGCCCCAGGCTTTTCTCTCGCCTGCCTTCTGAGCTGCACTTTCCGTGGGTGCCTTAAGCAGTGATTATGCCCAGCACAGACCTGGGGAGGGTCTTGCCCATGGCTCTTCCTCCTTCCTCAGCAACCAGCTCTCCCTTCCACCTGAGGAAAGGGG